GGAGGGCCCCGCAGAGCAGCGGCTCGGCCGCCCTGCCCTCCCCGGGGCCGGCGGGAAGAGACGTGTCGGGCGCGGTTTGCGCCGGCTCCGTCGCTCGGCGTGAGGCAGCGGCCTCGGGGCCTTTCCGAGATCGCCCCTGTCCTTGCGTTGGTCAGAGCCTCACGCGGGCAGGCAGACTTCAGCTGAAGCCTCGTTTCGAATTTCTCCCCTTTAAAAATGCACAGAGGAACGCACTAAGTAGGAAATTAAAATCTTATTTACAAACTAACGCTGAATTTAACCTCTAATTAGTCTTTTTTTTCCTTTGAGAAATGCAACAAATTAAGCTTATCTTAAAACACAGCTCTGAGTGCATTAGTTGCCTCATACTTAATGACCTTGTGGCTCTTCCCTGTGTTTGATATTTCCGGGTGACTTCACGAGAAAACCCATCGAGTTCATGTAGTGCTTTTGTGTTTTCCCTCAGTTTCTTCTGCGTTTGACTCTCTGTCCTTCAACACTTGGAATATCTATAAGGATATTGATGCAGGGAATGGTCAACTCCGTTTCCTTTCTCCTCAGGCTTTTTTCATCCTTTTCATCCCCCCCCCCTTTTTTTTTTACCCCCTGTGTTCTTTTTCAGAAGAGAAGCATTGTCTATTAAATAGCAGTATGAAACCATATAGCAGAAATTCATTTGGGAAGTACTTTTTGGATTTGAGCATTGTGCTACTCTGAAGCTGACACCGGTTCTGCCCATGAGCACTATTGAGGATGCGGTGAGTGAGCTAGTAATCCAGAGCCATGGTGGAGGAACTTATTAATGAGGAAAAAGTGGGAATCTGTGGCAGAAGTGCCTTTTGGTGAAAATCCTGGAAAGTCGCATAAGTAAGTAGTGGTGTCAAACTAATGATGACTTAACCATTCTTGAAGTTTACTTTGTTTGTAGCATGCTTTACTTTTAAGTGCCACTTACAAGTTTTTTTTTTCTCTTTCATCCTTGTAGCACTTTTATTTAGTAACTAAACTCAAGATATGGGGCCAATGAAATATAAAGCAAGTATGTCCTCAGTGTCAAGTGGCCTGCAGTATCACCGTTCTTTGGTGAAACGGAGTCACAAAATGAATTTGTGCGTAATAAGAACTTACTGCTCGTCAGCACCCAAGAGGCCCGAGGCCAAGTCGTCAGCAGAAACAGCCATGCGCCTCCTTAATCGCCTGACAGAAACTGGGACCGCTGTGGGAAGAAACTCCCTTCAAAAAATATCCACAACGTGCAAGAGTTGGTGGGACAGATATGAAGAGTTTGTTGGTCTTAATGAAGTTCGAGAGGCTCAGGGAAAGGTGACACAGGTAAATGCATAGAAAATCTGGAAATTTTAAAAGATAAACTGAACTATGTGAAATTTAATCACTAGCTCTGAGGCAAAAAAAAAAAAGAGCTTCAAAGAGTTATGTTTTTTCTGCTCTAATGGGCTATCCAGACAAGATAAATGTGTTCCAGCCTATGCACATTAGTAAATGTATTTTATCCTGTAGATTTTAATGTAGTGTTTTCTGTTTATTTTTGTTTGTTTTGTTTTTTCTTTTTTTTCCAAATTCACCTAATCAACGTTTTTAGATTTGTTTTGTAGCAAGACTCTAAAATAAAAAATTTCTCTTCTCAGGCTGAAAATGTCTTTATGGTAGCTCGAGGGATAGTACGAGAGGCTCGTGAAAATGTAGAAGCCCAACAAATTAAACTGAAGGAAATTCGGGACCGCTTAGACAGGGTCTCTCGGGATGACACCCAGTATTTAGAGCTGGCTACTCTGGAACACAGGTTGCTGCAGGTAATTTTGGTACTCGAGTGCTGGGAAATATGAAATTTCATGTGTTGTGCTTCCTTGCTAGTGACTGTTTTTGCAGTTGAAATTCAATTTTGAAATGCAATGTTTCTAATGATCTTGTTTTGGTTGAATCATCTATTATAGATGATTGAGCTTAGTATGCAAATCATATGCTAATGCTGAAATATGTGGTAAATTTGGAGGAGAAAGCTGAAGATAGTGAGCCTAGAAAATTAATTCTTTAAGGGAAGAGAAGTACATGGATAGTCAATTAAAAAACTAGGATGTGATGAATTTCCTTCCAGGTGATGAGAAAGGTTCATTCCTGGCTGTTAAGCCATAAAAAACTCTCTCAGCTGCCTTCTCTCTGGCTCCAATGCCCAATAAATTTATGGAAGCCCCTGTCGGGGAGCACTGGAGTGGAGGCTGCTCCATGAGGGAGGCCAAGCAGGGAGCTGAGGTGGCTGCTGTGCAGGCAGAGCAGTGCCCTCTGCCACAGGGCACAATCCCACAGCCGGGAGCTGCACGAGCACAGCAGGGTTGGCAGCAGGAGCAGGTTCCAGTGACAGCCCAGCAGCCACCAGGGAAAAGCGAGCGAGTCGAGGCCAAGCTCAGGGCAGGAGATCCGAACGACGGCTCACGAGCAGCAGGAACAGGCCTGGAAGAAGGTGCAGCCTTGAGAAAGCTCCAGAAAGGAGTCGGTGCCCGGGCTGGAGCTAAAGCAGCACCTGGATCTGTGTGCAGAGCGTCACAAAAGCACCAACGGTAGCTGTCTAGACAGTGGATCAGATGAATGAGACTCCAAGAGGAACAGAGCTAAGCATGACTATCAGCAAAGGTCAAACTGAACCAAACCGAAGTGTGACAAGGAGTTTTGGGGAGAGAAAGCGTCAGGACAGAGAGAGACTGAGAGAGAAAGAGCTTGTTGTCCCCTCGCACCGCTTTTATGTCATCAGTATTGGCAGGTTCCTGTGTAGAGAGTCTCCAGCTGTAATTCTTGATGCTTTTCTTCTGCATTCCTTAGTTTTGACTAAATAGTGCCTCACTGATTTTAGTAGTATAATAAAGAAGTAGTAGTATAATAAAATCCCACAAAGAATTTTTTTCTACAAGACAAACGAAAGCAAGTGAAGCACGTTCATCTGCACTGTTTCTTTTTTAAATACAGAATTTTTCGCTTCACAGCACACCTTTTCCTTCAACTCACTGTGTTTCTTGCAGGAAGAGAAGAGATACCGAGCTGCCTATTTAAATGCAGAAGAATCTGAGCGAGAAAAATTCTCTCTTTTCTCTGCAGCTGTAAGGGAAAGTCATGAGAAAGAACGAACAAGAGCCGAAAAAACAAAGAACTGGTCCATTATTGGTTCTGTCCTGGGAGCTATTATAGGTGTTCTTGGTTCCACCTATGTTAATCGAGTAAGGCTGCAAGAATTGAAAGTTTTGGTGCTTGAAGCACAGAAAGGGCCAATAAGTCTGCAAGAAGCCATCAAAGAACAGGCCTCCAGCCATTACTTACAGCAAAAGGATCTCAGTGATATCATAGCAGACCTGAAAAACATGCTGCAAACAAGGACATCACAGGAAATAAAAGAAGGTGTTTTGTTAGCTAAAGAAGACAGGAATGACTCCTTTAAAATAGATTCTATTTTAATTCCCTTAAAAGAACAGCTAAGCTACACTAAACAAGTCAGTTCATGTCTGGGGAATTTACAGCAGCAGTTTAGCAGTCTGCAAGAAAGTATAGCACAAATGGTGTCTGAAATGCAGAGCGTAAAACTTGCAGTTCATGCCAGACCCACGGAAAGAGCGGTGCCCCGGTCTCCAGTGGAGGGCAAGGGCCAGGCTTCCGCGGTGAAAGACGTGATTTTAGAGTTGTACGACACCGAGCGGAGGCTGGAAACACAAATGAAGAGAAACACTGTTTACAGCACTGCACTGACGTGCGCCATGTTTGCATTTACTCTGCCAGTACTTTATATTATATTTAAAGGAAACTGAGCTCTAATTAATTAACATAATTGACTAGATTAATAAAAGTAAGCTTGCACTCTAAGTAGTTAGAGTACAAGGTGAAGGAAATGTGTGTTAGCATTTTCTCATTATGCTTTTCTTCTGTGTAGTTGGGAAACTTGTACTGTCTGTCTCCAGGTGCAGACAGTGTGTTAATAATCATCACTGGGCAGTTTCGGCTCCTTGAACAAGGGAGATCCTCCTGTTTCAACTGCTGTACTTGTTTTGCTGTCTAGTTTTGTGTATCTTGCAAGCCAGTAGCTTCCACTCCAGAGCTGTGTTCATGATTTTCTGTTTAAATGATTCTTTTAATCTGTCATTAAGCTAAGTGCTTTATGTATAATCCTTTATATTTTTGTTCCATATTTCTTCCTAACTGTTCAGTTTGTCCATGCGCAGAGTTCTAGGAGTTGCCTTACGAAGGGATTGAAATATTTGCCCTGAAGATATCCCTTTTTTTTTTCTCGAAGATGTGTAGCAATGGTAGGATATGACAAATGCCAGGGATCATATGATCATGGGAGGATTGAAATCACCAGGAGACCTGTGTCTATACAGCCAGATGATGCATTTAAAATACATGTGGTAGCTTTCTCTTAAGACTGCTTATCATAATGTATCCAAAAGCCTTTTTAGAGCTTTAGCCCCTTGTTAATGATATCTGTGTCCTTAAGGCTTACAGGCATGGAAGGAGAGGGAAGAGATGGGTAAGATGATGTCCCCTCTGCTGATGCAGGCTGATTTTGTCCTTTATCACTCCCTAGCTAGTTTGTGCTTTCAGTAATTCTCTAGGGAGCAGTCACTTTGTGATCCCTTCCAGTATCTTTTCTTGGAACACTTTCTAGTTCTTCATTTTTCAGTTACTGTCTTGCCTGGAAATTGAAATGCTTCTTCACAGCAGCTGAAAATTACCACTCTTAAACTGGAATGTTAGTGACAATAGTATTATGAAAACTATTCCAAAATAATATTTGGGGAAAAAAAATAAAGGTCCATCTGCCTGCCTTTTCTGGAGGGGATGAAGAATGGCTGATTGAAGGATAACTCTGTGTAATCAGCTGAGCATCAATACTCACGCACAGCCCGGAGCAAGGTTGTCTGTGTTGTGCTGATAAGATACAGTTTCCTCTTATAATTGTAGCAGACGATTAATCCCCATTTGAGCCCCTGCTCTGTCGAGTACCTTATGTGAAACCTTTGCAGAGGAAGGACAGACAACCTCGCTTTGTGCTGTAGTGCCCTGGTGTCGGCATTCACAGTGACTCAGTTGTTTAGTATACAGCCTGCTATTTATTTTTCTGTCAGCCTTCTCTGCTTTCTTCTGCTTTCTTTTGCCCACTAAACAGATTAAAAGAGGTTGAGGTTTTGAATGTAAACTGTTAACGCTGTAAGATCTTTGGGGCAGGGATGTTCTCTCTGTGAGGCATCAACCTTTTGGGAATCATTAGGTACTATCATAACATGACTGAATAAACAGTATTAGGAATGATTGTGATGATTCACTACTTGATAAGTGAGATAAAGTTTGGTAAGTGTTTTGGGAGAAGACTGTTGCTGATTTATGTATTGATTATTTCGAGTGTAAAGTGCATAGTAAGCACTTGTCAAGGAAACTATATGAACCAATGGTAGGCACTGATATCTGAGATAAAAATACTTCATCAAGAAGTACGTACATAGTTTACAAATTTTCAAGCCTCTAATGTTTCATTTTCTCACTACACAAATGTTTCTACAGATTATCCTTCTAGTAGAAGCTTGGTGAAAATCAGAGACAAGTACATAATGGAAGGGGAGGGGAGAGTATAAAGGATCCTATTTATAATTTACCAACAGTAGTCACTAAGAATTCTGCAAAAACAAATCCAATTTGACTGTGTGAAGTTAGCTTCCCCTTATTAGGCAGTGGCTGAATTTTGGAGATTCAGCATCACTGAAGAGCTTGTTTGTATGTCTTGTTTAAAGCCATATGACTATGGTTTTAAAATGCTCTAAATGCTAGGCAGCTAAACTTGAATATTCATCTAGGCAACACTTTGCTCACTGAATTGTGCTTGTTTGGATTGTGGCATCAGCCATGAACACAAGTATAGGGTTGAACTAGAATACAATAAATACAGGAGTGCAAAAGCTAGGGAGGTTTACTGATCTGCTTTTTTCCTATTTAAAGAACAGTAGGTAGCTTTTACATTATCTAGTGTTGCAGGAAGAAGTTGATCTTTGAGTTCAGCAGCAAATATATTTAACAGTTGAGAAGACACTGAACTAAATCTGATGTGAATGAGAGCCTTCAATCTGAGGAAATCTGCATAGTGTGATAGGTATCATTGTGAGAATATCTGGATCTTATTCTTCACAGGGTATTTGGAAGATTCAGGAACAGGTTCTCTATGTGCAGTGTTGTACAACTGACAGAAATCCCTATTACGACTGATTGCAACAGTTCTCCGCAAGCTGTTTTAGTAAAAGAATAGTTCTGTAGTGCATATCTCTGGGTTATTGGCAGAATTTGCCATGAGTAGTTGACTTTTGCCTCCGGAATGAGGCCTCTCGGCTCTGCGCGAGCAAAGTCCTCCCTGGGCAGGAGGGCTCAGCCAGTCCGTGCTCGGCAGCGAGGAGAGATGGTGCCTCCCCGGGGAGGCCAGGGACTCGCCTATTAGGCCTTGATAAAGAAAAAAGAAAAAGGAGGAAAAAAAACACTGGCAGGGGTCTGGGTTTGTTCCCTGCCAAACTGTTCTGAGATCCTAATGTTCCTTAAGAAACCACTGTTAACTCAAAAGTAAACAGTGTAGTGGTGTGGGAAAAAAAAAGTATAATAAGGTCAGTACAGACTTCTAACAATAGATGCATTTTGAAGAGAAAACTTGCCATTCCTTCCTCTCACGAAGGCAGTATTGAATATTGCTTATGAACACAGAACAAAAGTCGTTATACTCAGTGTCACAGTGTGTGTGTATATATATTTATATTTATTAATTCTTGAGGTTTGAATGTTCCAGCAGTCTGAGATTCTGGTGGCAAATTGCAGGTGCTCCCATTGACGTAATTGTAACCATCTGTTTGGCAAAGACAAGGAGAACTTTCTTTTAGAGAATTCCCTCTAATAGAAATTTACTTTCCTCATGGTGGATTTGAAGACTGATAGAAATACCCTGCTTAGGAGCAGCATTGAGATCAGCAGTCAGTCAGATTTGTGAGCTAGAAAAAGAGACACCAAGCTGGTTTGTCCACAGTTTCTTTAGAACAGTATTTCATTGCCAGTCTTTAGCTAGCAAGTTAGATCTGCATCCTGCCACCCCAAAAGGCAGAGAAGTGCAATTTCTGGTGTTCAACAATTGCTAATTAGTATAAGGAGATGTGGGTCTAAATTACAGCAAAAAATATAAAGGCTAAGTGTTAGATAGGACACAATTTCTATTTCGAAGGAGAATTAAGCATTTGTGTAATTATTGTTGTGGCAAGGCTTTGATGTTTCCATCATGGGAAGTCTTTAAGAATAGTTTAGATAAACATCAGAGGGAGTGATGCAGATATAAGTGGCTTCTGCCCTGAAACAAGATGGATTCACTCAAGAGTTTTCAAACTTTTTGTTCGAAGGACCCCTTTGTTCATAAAGCCATGCAGATTTGCACTCTTGCCATAAGCCTTTGATTTTATATGGCTGTGGCCTACACTGGCCTTTGTGCAAATTTGCCTGAAGCAAAGATCATCCTGCTTAAATACTGGCACATCATGAGTTCTCAGCAACTTCCCTGAGCTTCAGGACTTACTAAAAATTGAAATCTGTGTTGATTCAGGGTGCCCATCACCCAGGCATCCCTAAGAGCTGGGTGCCTGTAATCTGCTTTAGGAAACCGATCTTAATACTCGCTTGCCAGGGAGGTGACTGTGACAACCTGCATGGCCGAAGCCCTCATCTGAGAGGTTGGAGGACTCGTTCATGGTGACATTGGGCACGATGGGCGTCAGAGCCTTAGCTGCACAGCTCCCGGGTGAGGGATGCTCGTGGAAATCCCTAATCTTGTGCGGTGCTCGGCTGGGACACACCTGAGCAAGTAGGTGTGGGGTAAGAGAGGCTCTTTGCCCCTGCAGAGTAAAGCCGCTCATGTCCTAGTGAATTGAAAACTGGAAAGGAGACAGATTTCAGGTAGGGCGGATGTAGTCAACCTTCTGCTGCTCCCTGAATTACGGCTCCCGCATGCAGCCTATTCCCAGGAGCTATAGCCAGCATTCAGATACCCCTTGTGACTCTCTTAGCCTGTCTTATCCCCTACTCGGAGGGAAGAGTAGGAGCGGAATCACAAGGAGTGTAAGCAGCTGCTGTCCTTGTGATTACTGGAATAGTTACGTAAGGAACTTAGCTAACCTGCTTAGAAGCAGACACGAAGGAGGAGGATCCTTTCTGGATTTAAATATAGAAGAAAGCGCCTGAACAAATGGAAACCAAAAGCTGTTGGAGTCAGATTTGGCCCTCGTATAATTCTTATTCTTTGTATCACGCTGTTTTCAGATGTGTTATCACTGGAGGAAAGTGGTCTCCAGCTTTGTGCTTTCTAAGTGCAGCTTGGAGACGTTTTACGATGGAGAGAAGGGGCTGCAGGTTGGGAGCAGCTCTGGAGAAGAGGAACGGAGCGGGTTGCTGGTCTGAGTCAGGAATGGGGCAGAGCGAAGGGAAAGGTTCCTTGTGCCCAGTTACTGAATTCGAACCGTGGTGAAAGTTATTGGGGTCTGTAAGTGGGATGATGAAAAGCTGCACCGTGAGTGCAGCCTGAAGAGCACTTCCCGGGGAACAGGGTATTCTATCTGCTGGGGAGGGAAGGAGGGAGCGAGCTGGAGGGGATGATAATCCCGCTATGGGCAGCTGGGGACTAAATTTTCAGAGCTGCTTTTTCCTTTAAAGGCCGGTGGCAGGAGCGCAACAAAGGGCGCGGATGGGCAGAGGCTGCAGGAGCCGGGCCCGGCTGCAGCCGCCATCCCCCGAAGTGTCAGAAACGCCCGTGGGGCGGGAGGCCGCCCGGCCCCGCAGCGCTCCGTGCCCGGGGCTGAGCCCTGGAGCTGCCTCCGTCCCAGAAGGGAAGAGGATGGGGCTGCCCCCTCGTCGGAGGGGCCCGACCCGC